CTTCAGGTACATACTTTGATTGCTTGATTGAACACTAAGTTGCGAAAACCAACAATCCTTCTCGTGCATACTTCGATTGATTGTTTGATCAATCAACAAGTACAGAGAAAACCCAAGCAGGCTCAAGCAATAGTAGATTAACCAGCGTTAGAAACAGACAAACATCGTGACCAACCTTAGAAATAGAGGAATATCATAATAGGGCCGGCTCAGAGGTGGATTTTTAGTGCGGCCTTAGAAATCGAGGAATATCATAATAGGCAGAGGTGGATTTTTAGGCTGGTTTTTAAGAGGGTATTTTTTTTTAGAGCCAGTTTTTACAGATTGGTTTTAGATCGGGTTTCAAAGGGTAGTCAATTTCAGAGGGTGGATTTCAGAGTGTTTCAGATCTTGTTCAATGCAGTTTTTAGAAGGCTTTTTCTATTATTATTTAGTGGGGCAAAAGAGCTACTTTATATGGTTGTTTAAGGGTCAATGTCATAATAGAGTGGTTGAGAGAGATTTCAAACGGATTTGGACTATGAGATCAACATCTAGAGGGAAAAAACAGGCTCGGTGGTTTTTTCAGATGAGACAGATCGGCCATATTCAATGGCAATTTTTTCTTTCGAGGTGGATTTGTGAGGCAGATTCCAAATCCAGCTCGTCCAGCATTAAAGGAGAGACTGATCGTAAAAGGTTATGTGGTGGCCGAGAATGTGGCAGTAGCATGTCACAATCATCTTGTGCTCGCCGATCTATCGGTCACAAAGTGCTTCGGAAAACTTTCGATTGCAACAGCAGTTGTCCAGACGGTGGGGAGACGTTTGCTGCGCGTCCTCGTGGAGAGGATACACTTCTACGTGCACTGCAACTTAATTGGCAGATGACGTGAGAGGATACAATTCATTCTTTTGCATACGGTTGTTGGGGTACGCTTTCATCGCTTGAAAACAGCGTGAAAAAAGGAAGAAAAGCAATCAATTGTAGAAGCATGAAAATCTCGATTTGATGATCAGGTAGTTACTGATAAACGAATGAATGGTTTCCAAGCCAATGAAAGTTCGATTCAGCGATCAATATATATTCAATTGCGTGAGATGATTTTGCCTTCACGGCTCCAAATATTTATTGAGAAATTTCTGTGCAGTTCCCCCCAAAAAAAATAAACAACTTTCTGCTGCAAATTAGAAAACGAAATTGGCTGGTTTAGTAGTTTGATTTGAGCCAGGCAGCTGAGCATATTGATCATTGATTTGAAAAGCAACTGGGCAGATTGGGGATTTCGAAAGGGATTCCAAGTTGCTCAGGTTGCAAAGCATAATTAAAGGTCAAATTGGTATAGGATCCAGTAATAAATACTTGAGGGTACAGGGCGAAAATGAATGCGGCGCACGTACTATCTGAATGAATGCAGCTGACAATAATATAAAGAAATCACATCCACCTATACTACTTTATACTATACGGAAACTTACCAAAAAATACAAGATATTTATGTATCTATTATATATGTCATGTGTCTTGTTTTTTTTTTTATAATTGTCCTCTCTCTCTCTCCCTATTCGCACAATCAAAGGTACCTAAAATCCATTATCTCTAACCCTCTTCGGAACGCCAATCTAAGATGGTTCCCAAACATAATGAGTTATTTAAGAAACATGCTTTTTTTTTTCTTTCTAAAATTGATGTGTGGAGATCATGAGAGAATGTTATAAAATGAGATAAATAGAATGAGTTTATTTAGAAAACATGATTTCTCTCTCCAACAAACTTTCTCTCATTATTTAGAAAGCGAGATATAAATAGAATGATCTTATTTAAGAAAGATGCTCTTTCTCTCCCTCTCTAACTAACTCTCTTTATCATCATCTAGAAAGAGAAAAATAGAATGAGTTTATGTAGAAAACATGCTCTTTTTTCTCTCTCCAATGAACTCTCACACCCTAATGCTAGATAAATAAATCTAAAATTGTTAGAGATAAGTGCTTGAGAGAACTAGTGCGGTGATGGGGAAAATGAAAAACGGAGAAACCATAAAAGTGTTTTATTTAGAGAGAGAGACAAGTGCTTAAGAGAACTGGCACGGCGATGGGGAAAATGAAAAACAGAGAAACCCTAAAAATGTTTTATTTAGAGAGAGAGCAGATCCCCACGGTTGAACTTCTACTAATATATGGTGGGGATTAACTTCTAAAATCTAAAATGTTTTATATATTATATATAAATCATAATTTATTTATGTTATATAAAATAAAAATATATTTTTTAAAAAAATTGGGTTGGATCCAGATCGGATCCACCTATACCTGGATCCGATCTAGATTGTTCTTCAGATCTGAATTTTAGATCTGGATCCGAATTTCATATCCAATTCTTGGATTCATATCCGGATCCAAACAGGATCAGAAATTTGGTTTGAGGATCATAATAGATAAGGTTATTGAATGGAGAAAGATTGAACAAGCTATAAAAAAAGAGCACAATGTTTGAAAATATACAAGGTTATTGGATGAAGAGACATGAGTGGATAAAGAAGGCAATTAAAGCTTATAGGTTTTAGGGGATGGATATTTCATTGCTAGTTGGTACGTGTATTTCAACACCCCTCATAGGTTTTCTCTTTGTTCTTTTTATGTCTCTCTTTATATCTTTTTCTATTTTTTCTATTTATGTATATCTTTTTCTATTTCATTATCTCTATGATTCATTTCGCTTGACATTATTTTCTCATTTCGGTTACTGCTTTGAGGTTATTGTGTTGCATGGTTGGTTATTTATTTTTAATTTGATTGTTTCAACATGTTCTATTTGGTCTTCTATTTTTAGGCAAAAATGTGATAAATGGAGTGTAGTAATTTATTTTTAATGGGATTATTAACACGAATGTTCATTGGTGGCTTATACGTGGTATCTCAACACCCCCCTTCCTTCTTGTTACATGAACGGTGGTATGCCAATAATGAGTTCGGTATGTTTGAGTTACATATTCTCTTATATTTTTTGTTTTTCTCTCTCCAAGGATTTAATCATTTTTATTCTGCATATTTTTTTCTATTCTTTTTATCTCTCTCTCTATCTTTCTTACACATTCTCTCTATGATCCATTCCACTTGACTTTATTTTCCCACTTTGGTTTCTGCTTTCAGGGTTATTATGTTGCATGGTCGGTTACTTTACTACTTCACTTTTTGTTTATTTTTAGTTTGATTGTTTTATATTTTCTGCTTGGTCTTTTTTATTTTTAGGCAAAAAACATTTTTTTTTTTGAGTAAGTATTAGGCAAAAAACATGATAATGGAGTGTAGCAATCCCTTTCTCTACTTCATACTCGGATTTTCTGGTTAGGTGTTTTATTTATTCATAAAATGTTGTGAGACTAAACTAATATGTTGAGGGAAAATCTTAAGTGTCTCTCTCTCAACCTTCTCTCTCTCGTTGTTGTAGATACATGGTATCTCAATATTGAGTGTAATATTTAGTTAGGTATGCTTGAGGTATGGTATCTCAATATTGAGTGTAATATTTAGTTAGGTATGCTTGAGGTAAGTGGTGTTCTCTTTATGTATATGAGGTGAGAGACAAGAGATGGAGGGACAGAAAGAGCACATAGACATAGAGAGGTTCTCTAGTTTTGCTTCTTTTTTTTTTATGGGATTGAGGGATACAAATATTTTTATATTCAATTAGTTCCCTATTATAAAGCTATATTTAGTCTCGCTTTATATATGATAATAGATAATAGAATAAAATGATAATTCATGTAAATATTCCCTAGTTTTCTCTCACTATTTTTCTTTTGCACTTTCTCTCTTGATTCCTCTATTTAAAATAGCATTTAAAATTTTTTGGTCTCCCTATAATATCATTTTATGACAAATAGTATACTTGAATTATTTATTTATTTCAGGGTTTTAAAGAAATCATAATTATTTAATAAAATTATTTAATTATGAGGATAAATTCAATAATATCTATAACCATATTATATTGAATTTTTTTTCAATGTTAAATATCTTTAAGTGATTAATATTAAATATCACATGCAATGCATGTGCATATTACTAATAATATTAATATATAAAGTTAACCTTCATCCAAAAAAAATTTTGTTGGAAAAATTGCATAAAACCCACCAAAATGGATATCCTAAGCACTTTACCCCACCTAAATTTCTTAAAAAAATTTCCCCAAAACTATCTTTCCTAGCAAATAACCCCCAACACGAAATGATCATTTTTTTTGGCGAAAATACCCTTCCTGTACCTAACAAATCATTTTTTGATCCCAATAAAAGGAAACGCCGAACCGAGTCTTACAAACATCGGATTGCACCCTCCATTAACGTATTTGCCGGACTACCCCTTTGTAATACTGAATTGGGCCAATTCCAGTGACTTCAATGTCGGACTGCCCCTTCCAAATACTGGACTGCACCATTTACAGTGATTTCGCTGGATTGCACCATTTACAATGAATTCAGTGCCAGACTACCCTTTCCAAACACCAGACTGGTGAGTGCTGAACTGCCTCTTGGAATTGCCGAACTGGCGGTTTGAAGTGCCGGACTGCCCCTTCGAAATGCCAGACCGGGCCAATTCTAATGACTTCAATGCCGGACTGCCCCTTCCAAATGTCGGACTGCACCATTCATAGTGACTTCAGTATCGGACTGCCCCTTCGAAATGTCAGACCGGGCCAATTCTAATGACTTCAATGCCGGACTGCCCCTTCCAAATGTCAGACTGCAACATTTACAGTGACTTCAGTGCCGGACTGCGCTTCCAATCGCCGGACTAGACCATTTTACGTGTGGGAAAAGGAGGGGTATTTTAGTCTATTTTTGTTTGTTTTTTGAGTTGGGGGTTATTTGTTAGGAAAATTGGTTTGGGGAAAAAAATGTTACAAAAAAAATGGGTAAAGTGCTTAGGAAGTCCATTTTGGAGGGTTTTATGCAATTTTCCCATTTGACCTGTGAGTTTTGGGGTGAGGTTTTAATTATTTTGATAACCTTCGTGAGAAAACGTTTGGAGTGACGATGAGGTGGGTTTAAATTATTTTGATAGGGCTGCAGCCCCAACCATTTTCCAAAATGGAGAAGGGTTTATAGTGAAGGTCTGAAGCCCTGAACCAAGAAAAAGGAGCATTGCCTCTCTCTGAATACCTCCCCACTCTCTCTCACTCCCCCTGTGTCCTCTACCTCAACTCTGCACTCGTTTCTCCCCTATTATCGTGCGCTCTCTCAAACGAGAATCACTTTCGAAGTCTCATCTTCTTCAACATTCTTCATCTTCTTCAACAAGGTAAGGTTTTTTTTCTTTTACTTTTTGGTGGTTTTCCTTTTGTCTTTTTTTGTTGTTGTTGGAGATAAATCATTGTATACGATGCTTTTAATGACTCCATGAGATTGATGGTGTGCTCTATTTGCTCTGCATCTAATGGCAAAAACAAATTTCTCCTAATGGTGTGCTCTATTTGTCGGCATCTAATGGCAAAAAACAAAATTTATTCTAACTTTGATATATGGGTTTGCTTACTTGGAGTATGTAGAACTGGCATTATAACCGTAGCGTTCCTCATGGTAAATGCACAACAACATTCCATTCTCTATAAACAAAAAACAAAAAAAAGGTAGAGATTTTCTTTGTTGTATTTTTTCTGGTTTTTTATTTTGTCCTGTTGGTTTTGTTACTTTTTACTAGTTTTCTTTTACTTTTTTGTTGGGTATAGAAGTTCCATTCGCTATGTAGAATGGGTATGTTTTTTTTTTTTTGGGGTACATAAGTTCTATTTTAATCTGTAAAAAAACTTGGGTATGGGTTTTTTATGTTTTATTTTTCCTCGTTTTTCCTTTTAGATTTTGTTTTGTTTTGCTTCCCTGTGGAAGCAGTTTGTTTTTCAAGAATACTTTTAATCTCCTAGTTCCACTGTAATAACGGTTCCAAAAGGGAAAAATCGAAAGTTATTTGGTTTTTTCAGTAATACCTTGAAATCCCACTTTGTATTTTGTTTGTTTATTGGATTGGTCAATGGATAATGATCAAGTGGAGCTGGCCATGCAATCTTTGGAAAACTCCATTTTTCGTGTTCAATGGAGGCTCAAGGCTACTTCAAAGAGAGGCCTGATTTTGGGTGTGAATCTTTTCATGGTTTATTCGCTTTTTTTGTAATATATTGATCTCTTTTAGCTGCATTTGATCAATTTATCAATTATGTCAATTTTATGAAATTTATGGTTGCTCAATTAGCAAGGATTTGTGTTGGTGAAATTGGGTTTTCTTTTGAATGCTTATTGCTCTTCTATAGTTCTATTATATGATTTTCTTTATTCTTGTCCTTCGATTAAAAAGTAAAAGAGGAAAAGGAAAGATGGGTTATACCTACCTTTTCCATTTGGTATGATTTCTCCTTTTTATTAATATATTTTCTATTAAAATTTCTGAATTACACTATTCGTACTATTAGAACATGTAATTTGTATGTATGAATTACAAGTTGATTATTCATCAAGTTTGTGCTGCCTCGAAAATGTGATTTGTAATGGTAATGCTATAGCAGAATTGAAATTGATGAAAGGGAGAAAACTCCTTAAGAGAAATGCAGCTAGGGTAGGACACCTAACATTCCTGAAAATTGAATAATTGAAGTGGACACCTAACGATCAAAAATAGGTATTAATCTAGATTCTGGGAGATAGTTTACCAATGGGTTACCAAACATAAGAAACTGGGTACACAGTAATGCCAAACATGTGAACCAAACATGGGGAAAAACAGGATTGAAAAACTCTTTGCACAGGGAACTGTTTACATATGAAATTTGTTTTACATACGCAAACTGTTATGCATGAACCAAATGAGCCCTAAAACCCATGACAACAACGAAATCTTTCTCTTCTCTATTCAGTGCCGAGTCTCTCTTTCCATGAGCACCCTCACTCTTTCTCTCTCTCTCTAAAACGGTCACTCTCACTGAACTCTCTTCATCTACCCTCTCTCTAATTTGGAGTGGCCCAAGTAAGTTCTCTTTCTCTAGGGTACTGGACTATTTTTTGGGCATTATCTCTCTGTTTTCATGGTTTCTCTTGGTTTACCTGAACTAAAATTTGGAAGATAAGAGCAATGATAACTGTGGTATCTGTGATTTGATAATGTTAGAAATGGTTTTTTATGATTGAGCTACTGTTCATTTTTGGATTTCAAGATGCTTGCGAAACCTTAGAAGTTGGGATTGAGAATTTTAGATTTTATGCTTGCTAAAGGGTAAACTGAGTTATTGTATCACTTGTGCATTCATTTTTGAATTTTTCTTAGTGTATTTTTTTTACTATTTTTTTATACTTTTATCCCATGGATGAATTTTGAGATCGCCGCAAAAAAAAAATAAAAAAAATTGAAATGGTTTCACTGACATGAAATCTGGTGTTTCAACTCTCTCAAGCTCAACAGAGGTACTTTCTCTCTGTCTATTTATTTTGAAGATTTTTGTTGTTTAGGAAATGGCCTTGCTTTATGGTCATACTTGTAGTATTTCACTGATTTAGGCTTGGAAGGGTAAATGGATTCTTTTAAGGCCTGATTGCTTCATTTTCTTGTTTATTGGTGTCAAAGATGCTTGTTCCAATTGTGAGAGGATTTGTGCAAATCTTTTGGTGAATTGTGTAGCCACTCTAAATATAGTTTTGGGCCTACTAAGAGAGTGTGAATAAAATTATTATTAGCCTCATGATGTTTATATATGTTTGAATTGGCATGCATAGAAATAACAACTTATGCAGCGAGTTGACCAAACCAATGAAGCATGATATATTGTAAAACTATTTATCTATAGTACAAGTAGGTCACAGTTAACTATAGCCACTAAGTGTGAACTTCAACGGCTTGTGATATATCACGGGTCTCAAAAAATATTTTATTTTATGTAGATAGGTGTAAAAAAATGTCTTTTAGACTTTTGAGCCCAAAAGACTCCCAACCGCCCAATTTAACATCCAATGGCGATGAATAACTGTGGTATCCTTGTGCCAAATGCAAATGTTCCCCTCTTTCGTATAGATTTTATGGTCCAGCAAACGATCACCCACAATACGAATTGCAGGTTTCATCTAAGATACACCATCGCCACATGAGGTTCCATACATGTCCTCGGCCCCGAGCTGCTCTTCCTTAAAAATCTGAACCACGCAATGTGTTCAATCCCCACGACCTCTATAGCGCCCCCGATAAGGTTTCATTCAACTCCTGCTTCAATTTCCAACCTACTGCATATTTTGATCTTCCAAGCTTTGTTTTCATTCTCAAATTCTATGGCTTATTCCCCATATTTCCTTTCAATGATCTTGTTTTTGACAGTGGCAACCGGCTTTCTGCAAGAAATCTCAGAGGGGTTACTCTGAATTCAAAAATTAGAGCTATTTCAGCAAAACCCGTCATGGGTATGGTGAGAGATGAAAGGTTTATGATAGAGAAAGACAATTGTGGGATTAGAAATGGGGATGGAGTGATTGTAGTTGACCATGGGTCCAGACGCCAAGAGTCCAACCTAATGCTGAGTAAGTAAAGTGTAGAGCTTTCTTCTGTACCTTTGCGTAAACTGTATGGTTTTCTATTTTCTGATTTGGACTATAATAAAAATAGGGATTGTTTCCTTACTTTTTGATATATAGTGTATAGCTTTCTTCTGTATGTTAACTTTATGGTTTTCTGTTTTCTCATTTGGATTATAATGGAATTCGGTTGTTTTCTTTACTTTTTGATTTGATGTTCTTATCTGTTTCTCAATCTTTTGGAGTTTGGAGTTACTATGAGAATGAGATGACTCTCTTCTTCTGCTTCTGCTTCTTCTTGTTTTGTTTTTCTTTTTCTTTTTTTTAATTTTAATGGTTTTAATGTGGTCTTGTTTTGGAGGGAATTGCAGATGCTTTTGTGGCAATGTTTAAGGAGAGAAGTGGTTACCCCATCGTGGAGCCTGCTCATATGGTGAGAGGAGGTCATTTGATTTTTTTTATTTGTTGGTTATTTACATTTTTTTTTTTTTTTTGGAAGACACCTCTGATAAATTGCTAATATTTCTTTTTGGGCTCTTATAGTGAAAAGATTGACTTATCAAATGAATGTGTTGATTCTTGACACACAATAGTCTGAAATAGTGGAAGAAAAACACTCTCGCGAAACTTTTTCATTTGCATAAATATTTATGATTATTTATAGAACTTAAAAAAAAAAGCAAAAGCAAAACTCTAATAATTTTATTATATTATTGGGAGGTAATACTTCTGTTTTGTTTGTTTTTCCATGTGTGAGATCAAGAGGTTATAAATACGGATACATTAATTTGTTGGGCAAATATGGGGTTTCTTTTGTACGGATAAAAAAATATTTGTGTTGCATTGACATTGATTCAAGTGCCCATTAACGGAACTCCTCATCAAATAACAAGAACCTCTTGTTTTGTTATCCTTGCCACTTTCTTGGAGATATTTTGATGTTTGTTGACAATTTACATGCATTTCCATTAGTGTACAACCTTTCCTTGTCGTTTTCGTAATCTTCTGTTTGGGGGATTCATAAAGATTGATTTACGATTTTCTTTGATTTTAGGGAATTAAAGGGAGAGAAAGGGGGGCGGGGGAAGAAGAAAGGGAAGGGAATTCATGGAGCTTGTTTCTGTAGAATTTCAGGAAATTTCTCTCTTCTTGTCTTGAACACAGGTGCATTTTAGAGATTTTCAAAAAACCAAGGCTTGTTTATCACCATTTCTGTGTCCAAACTTTTCCTAGGTAGGCTTTTGAGTACTTGGGGTTGCTCATATAAGGCAATTACATATATAAAATATGTGTCGTTAATATTAGTCCTCAATGAGAGTGGCACTACATGAAGATTGTACACACCTAGACTCATAGGAGAGAGAGTGTTGCATGCTTGAACTAACCTCTAAGACTCTTTCTCCAACCCAATGAAAGGGTCTTATTTAGTAGTCCTCTGACTATATTTTGCATCATTAGATGTATAGTAGAACTCCTTTTCAGGATCGATTGCAACTAGAGCTGATGGACACAGATAATGTGTTCTTTGTGACGATTGGAGAGAGTGGTGTATCGGATATGGCACAAGAACTCAAGGATTCATTTTATCATGCATTTTTGTGTATTTATTTCTGTATTTGGACTCAAATTAATATTTAGTCTTGATTGCAGTCGCTTTATTCTCTTGAAGATTTAAGCATTTAATGATGCTCTTTTGTCCATCAGCACAAAAAAGGTTGCTGTCTCTTATTCTTCCTGGGATGGTATCATCTAGTTCTCTTTTCCCTATGGTTTCTTCTATGCCCATGACCCTTAGAAATCGAAGTTTTCCTACTTTCCCAGATTCTAGATCACATTCTACCATGAGTTCTTTGTTGAAAGATAGAGATCTACATATGTATTAATCATCATTTATTAGTTATGAAAACCTCATGTTGCTGGGGGATTTCTCGCTCAAAACCATGGCATACTATGTTCTGATACTATTTTAACCAAGGGGATGGAGCAGGAAGTCATGTTTGATACAATTTCTTCAAACCTATGATTTCTTCATTCGAGCCCACTCTAGAGCCTCCGTGCTATTCTGAGTGAGATTCTCATCCATCTAAAATCTATCTTCCTTCTGAAACAATGCTTCTTGCATCGGAAGAGATCAATATATGTATAATTCAGTGTTTTAATACTCGGTGAGTCCGTCTAGGACTCTCCCGAGTTAGTCGGACTCAACAAGGTGCTGTGTCTTGCACAGAAACCTTGGGAACTGGCTGAGTCTCACCAGTTCCCTTGGTTTCTGAGTCTTGTTGAGACTTAGCCAAGTCAGACCTGCTTACTCGGGCTCGGGCCTGGGCCCTGCCTGGTTCCATGCCCAAGTCCAAGTTTATAAACACTGTTATAACAACTCTCAATTCTTTAACGGTCTTGATTGCTTAACAGCATCCACATAATTTTGGGGCATTAAAGTTTAAAAAACAGGGGTTTTATGCGCTCTCTAGCCATTGAAAGTTGAGTTGGAAAGGTTTTGCTCTATATAAGTTGCACTTTCCATGTAAGGTAGTTTATTGTGAACATGCTTTTTCAGCCATTAAACTCTCCCATGTGTTTCTGTTCATTTTTCATTTGACTTCACGATTGCCGTGCATACTGTACATTTCATGTAAGAATAGGATGTTTATGTTTAGAATGCTTCTCACCTGATTGTGGTTTTGAAACTCCTCCTTATCCTTGAGATTTTTAAATTTGTGAGTCTTGACCAGAAAGGAATTATAACTAGATGTCTAACCTATTATATATTCAAACCTTATCTGTTGTCCTTGCAATTGATTTTTCTTTTATCTTCGTATGAAGCTTATGCTTGTGTATTGAGATTCTTCAATTCGTATCTGTTTTCTTTGGGTATCTATTGAGCTTTTGCCTTACATGTCTAACTTCAATTTAGGAGTTGGCAACACCATCAATTAAAGATGCATTTTGTGCATGCGTACAACAAGGGGCTAACCGCATTGTTGTGAGTCCATATTTCCTCTTCCCTGGGCGGCATTGGAAACAGGTATTCCCACGTCATACTTAATAACTAAACCCAAAAACATGCTTTGCAAGTTTTGACACAAGTTTGATGAATTTTTGTATACAGCTAGCATCTATTTTAGATATATCAGCTAAAGCATGCTAATGGGCCAAACTTCATTCGACAAATTGTCCGAAATTATCTTTGAATTAGCAATCCTAAATTAATTGACTTAGTTTCAGGCATAAATTCCTAGTATTCTAGTTTTCTTGGTAAAAAAACATTTCATTTTGATTAACAAGAAGAAATCTTTTTCAGACCAAATTTTGGTTATGTTTCAAATTCCAAAATTGCAGGATTGGACCACTACAAAATGTGATATTTTGAATTCATTGTTCTAATGAACCTTGTAATTTTTTCTTTTCCTCATTTTTCCTTTTGAATGATTTTAAGTTTTTCATTGCATATCATTTGAAATTAAATTTTAGTCCATGACTGCTGATGTAGGACATCCCATCCTTGGCTGCCGAGGCAGCTAAGGAGCATCCTGGTATCCCTTATGTTGTAACTGCACCTCTTGGTCTGCATGAACTGATGGTGGTAAGTGACTCTACTTTTAGTTTGCTTAATTTCCTCTAAAAGTTTATAAAGAGCTTAGGCTCTAAACAATCAAATTAGAGCCTACCTCAAAACTTTCACTTGAAGAGGTTGTTTTGATGCCCAAATATCATCAAATTGATCATCTCGACATCAAAATGCATGGACACGAGAAGAAAATAGAATTCAAGTTTTGGAAATAGTGCATCTTGTACTGCATTTTTGGGCCATTAATTTTCAAGAGTTTCAAGTTTTCATAGATTTGCTCGATCTACACTATTTTTTAAGCTTCAAATTTTATAACTAAATATGAAATATAATTTAAGGCTATTGCAAACTTTCCACTATCGAAATCATATTTCTCGGCACTATTTGAAGGTGGGTTCTAATTTGATTGTTTAGAGCCTTGGCTCAATACAAACCACACCCTTAATATTTTATAGGTTTATTTTTATTTTTTTGAATTTGACATTTCAGTTTCTTATATTGACAATGCAAAATAAATTGGCAGCGGCCTTTGGGAATCATTTGTTAGATTGCATTTCCAACCGAAGTTTCTCTCTCTTGGGTCTTTTCAGTTTTACTGAGCCACAAGAATGACACTGATATTGACAAATTTGAATTTGTTATCCTTATAAGATAATTAACTGTTTTTGTTTGCTAAAAGTCGGAAACACACTCGTGTATGTTGTGTGTGCGTGTGTTTGAGAGAGAGAGCATGTGCATGTGTGTGTGAGAGAGAGAGCATGTGCATGTGTGTGTGTGTGAGAGAGAGAGAGAGAGTGTCCTTGCTAGGATTTGTCGTGTGATGGATATATTTTTGCTAAGTGAGTATGTAATATTTCTCCGTTCATTTTTGGGCAACTTAGATTTGGTGCCCCACTATTATGTTCCCCTTGGATTTCTTTAGAATTAGTATTTTTCTTCGTAATAAGGAACTAAAAGATGGTGCCTTTATACCCATAAAAGATATAAAAAAATAAAAGTAAATGGCCGTTTCTTTCTTTTATTGGTAGTCTGATTGTTAAATAAAAAGAGAGAAGTTATAGGGATGTTTCTATAAGGAAGTCATGGGTGGAATGTTATAAATAACAAAATGGGCACTTTTTTACAGGATGTATTGAATGACAGAATCAAGCACTGTTTAAGCCATGTTGAGGGAAATGCAGATGAGTGTGACGTGTGTGCTGGTACGGGTGGGTGCCGTCAGATTGTAGCCTGAAGAGAGGGTAAATTTTTTTTTTGGGTCATCTAGGCTTGAGATTTCAATGTAAACTAATATTTTGAATGTCAATTAGTTTATTATCAATAAATGGGAACCTTTTTCTTTTTTGTCTCTCTATTGTAAATTTCAATTGTGAGAATTTGCAATTGCAACTAACCGCCATAGTTGAGAAATGACTTCCAAGACCATGGGACTTGATTTTTCAGCAGACTTCATTGGGTGCGAATTGATTACTCCCATTGTTTTCTAAACTCAAAATACCCTAAACACCCACCTAAAAAATTTTTACCAGAAGAGGTTATATGATCATCTCGAAATCAAGATGCAGGACATGAAAAAAAATGGATTTCAAGTTTTGGAAATAGTGCATCTTGTAATGTATTTTTGTCTATTAATTTTTAAGATTTTCAAGTTTTCATAGATCTGATCGATTTATATTATTTTTGAAGCTTTAAATTTTATAATTAAATATAAAAATATTTTTTAAGGCTATCACAAAGATTTTCAATATTGAAACTATATTTCTCGATACTATTTGAATGTGCACTTTATTTCTATTTTGATTGTTTAGAGCTTCGGCTCTATGCAAATTGTACTTTTTATATATGCTGGGTTCTTTTAAAAGCGGGCAAAACAATATTGTGCTCAAAGCCAGCTTTTATATATACTAGAATCAACAAAATCAGGTACCCTACCTAGGTATCCATAATCGCTCTCGTGTCGCATTTGTGGGGGGGAAGTTGTTGATCATGCTTCCTACGCCCAGAAACTTAACACCATGTTTTTCATTGCTTTCTCCCTCTCTCGTGAGCCTCAAATTCAACACTATTGATTTCAATGAGTTTGGCCCTGTCTTGTGTGCCTGCATACATGCGTGCGGAAGATTGTTATCATTGTCTTAAACTTCAACACTATGTTTGCTATTTATCGTTTCACCTCTATGTATTATGCGGGAAATAGGAAAAGATGCGGTATCTACCTTTTTTTTTTTTCACGGTTTCACCTCTATTTATTTCTGGTTTGAAAGTCGAATTTAGGACAACGAAACCACAAAAAGTTTGATTTATCTGGGTAGATTAAAATACTAGCCTTCTAATAGCTCAAAATTATGTATTTGGATCATTATTGGAAAAAACGCCCAGGCCTGGTTAGATCGGAACTGGCTGGTTCTGGTTTTAGTCGGTTTTGGTGACCGGCTAGGTATTTTTTAAAATATATATATAAATCCCAATAAATAAGGGATTTTGTTCATAATGTATTTTTAATGTTTTTCATCATTATAGCAAAAATTAGAAATTGTTTTGGCCATTAATATTTTTTTTTATATTTTTTCATCTTTTTTTAAAAAAATTCAAAAATACCCTTAGGCACAAATTGATTATTTAGTTTTTCAACTTCATTTGGATGTACTTTGTTTAAATTTTTTTTAAATATATTTTTCATATTTTAATAGATTTTTTTGTTTTTTTATTTTTTTTAAACACTTTTTTTACCTCCCGAAACATGCCTGGTTAGAACTGTTGAACCGGCTAGTTTAACGGTTAGACAGGTTGAACCGCTTCCAGGCCATGTCCGGTTAATCATTCGGGTTTTATTTTTCCAACATTGATTTAGATAGCTCAAAAATCCGACTCTCACGCCACCTAGACAGAGCACACAAAATAAAAGAAAAAGGTGTCGACTACAAATTTTGTTCTCTCATAAAAATAAACGAGTGAGCACGAATATAATATCCTTGAAGTTGGATAAAGGTCAAATAGGTAAACGGAACAGATCGGGTTGGTTTGTTGGTCGTTTATAATTGTTCAGTCTAACAGCCATTGTGGCTTTTAAACATGCGTTTATAGAAGATATGTCGAAATTGGCCATGGATATTGCATTGCTTGTGTGTGGTTGGAGATTTTAATTTTATAGGTAGGTCTGTTGGAAACCTATTCGACTGTTACAGTTAATTCTTGCATGCGCATGCTTAATGATTTCATCATGTCAAATGGCTTAGTTGAATTGTCTCATTTTTTAAAGCATCAAGAGGTTTGACACAAGGGGATCCATTATCACCTTTTCTCTTTAATTTAGTGGCTGAGAGCTTTAGGTTGATGCTGAAAAACATGGAAAGTAGGGGATGGTTTAATGGTTTTAAGATTGTTGAAAATGGACTATAATTTCATACCTGCAATATGTTGATGACACGCTCATTTTTTGCGATGAAGATTTTCATCAGGTACATGTTGTTTCAATCTTTTTGAGATGTTGTGAGGTTACTTTGCGCTTGAAAGTTAATTTTACTAAAACGTCTCTGGTGAGGATTGGCTATGGTGATAATATGGTGCATGATTTGGCTCTGGTGCTAGATTGTGTTATGGATTATTTCCTATAAAATATTTTGGAATTGCTATTTCGAATAGGAAACTACCACGTTCTATTTGGGATCCTGTTTTGAAAAGAGTCCACACGAACTTGATATGTGGAAGACAAAGTTCTTATCTCTAAGAGGAAGGATTACTGTAATTAAATCCTCTATGGCAAATATGCCCATTTATTTGATATCTTTTATGCATATGCCTGCACTGGTGATAATAAAAATTGAAAGACTTATGTGAAAATTTCTTTCGAGCTCTTCAGACGGGGTAAATAAGTATCATTTAGTAAGTTGGGATAAGGCGTGCACCCCAAAGATGGAAGGGCGCTTGAGTAATAGGAGATTTAAGTGTGTTAATCAAGCCTTATTGACTAAGTGGCAGTGGAGATCTTTGGAGGGTGGTAATAAGCTATGGAAAGAGGTGCTTATTTCAAAATATGAAATGGAGAGTAATGGTTTTGTTAGTAGGGGCAGACGTAGCTGCCATTAGTCTCAAACTTGGAAAGGATTTTTTTTGCCTGAAGGGACCTTGTTCTGAGAAATATTAGAAGGTTTATTGGTATTGGGGAATTGATTAATTTTTGTCTTATAAGTGGGTTGGGGATCAACCTCTCAAGGTGATGTATAAGGACCTTTCTGATAAATGTTGTTCTCAAAGTTTGAGGGTGTGTGCTGTTTTTACCCACGATGATCATTGGGTGCATTCGAGCTTGCAGTTTGCTTACAATAGAATTCCATATGATTTCCCAGTTCACAAATTTGATGAATGAGTTAGAGGGTGTTTATGTGTCTTCTTTTGAGAAGGATGAAGTTATTTGGGAACTCTCTAATGATGGTATTTTTTTAGTTAAATTGGCGTATCAGCTGATTTTTCATGATCGTGTGCAATGGTCCTCGCCTTATTTAAATAAGATATGGAAGTGGAATATCCCAAATAAGTTTCAGATGTTTGTATGGATCTTATCTCAAAACAAAGTAGTAACGGTGGATAATTTGCGCATAAGAGGCAAATTAATTATTAACTTTTGTATTTTATGTAAAGGAGATGAGGTGACCGGAGACCATCTATTTTTGGCGTTGTCCTATAAATTATCATCTTTGGATGTGGGCGATAAATTTGGTGGGATGTGTGGTAACCTTGCCTGCTTGACATACTGACATTGTTCAAGAACTAAGTTTAGCTAGTTTGCCAAAAAAAAGGTTTAATTATTTGGAATATCTTTGTGGGGCTTTTCTTTGGGAAGATTCGTTGACAAGAAATAGATGTACTTTTGACGGAAATGGTTATAAAATGGCAAGAATTAAGGAAATGATCCTTCGTAATGTGTGGTTTCGGTATTTAAACAGAAGGAAGGAAACGGTGTGTCGAAAGTGGATGTCATGTTAAATCTAAAAATTTGGTAATGCAAACTGTAAAATCAGACCACGAGGAAGACGGCCTCCACCTTTGGATGGAAGTGTTAAGTTAAATTTTGATGAGAGTTCTTTGGGAAACCCAAAGCCAGTAGGTGTTGGTGGGATAGTCTCAAATTTAGATAGATTGGTACTTTTTCCTTTTTTAGGCCAGGCTACTACTAATAAAGCTAAAGTTTTGGCTTTGTTGCATGGTTTGAAAATTTTTAAAGAGAAAATTTTGAAAGAGAAGTGTACTGATTTATATTAGGTAGTGGAAGGGGATTCATTAAATATTATCAATTGGTGCAATTTATTGGGAGACCGTAGTGGAATTTGCAGGAATTTTGGATAGAAATTCCAAATCTATGTCGATTCCATACAATTTCTTTCCAACAAATCTACCATAAGGCAGATGATAAGGGATATTCTTTGGCAAAAGCTAGTGTCCACTCACACTCTATGGCCATTTCTCCTTCTTTCAATTTGTAATTCTCTTTTAATTATCTTTTTTTTTTTTGTAAATCTCTTTTAATTATCTTTAAATCTCTTTTAATTATCTTTAATCAATAAAATTTATGTACTCTTGTCAAAAAAAAAAAGAAAAAAAGAAAAAAGAAAACAAGGCTTATTCATATGCCTAAACAAGGGCCATTTCAAGAGTTATTTGTTCCCCTTACCTTAATATATTTTAATGGGTGTCATAAGGGAGACGATATTACAAAACAAAGTTCTGAGAACGTTGCGATCTTTCATGGTGATGTTGTTGGAGACGTTGGTATTGGACTTTCTGTTCGTGTTGCACAGGCCGCTGCTGTAGGTGTTGATATTGGGATTGTTAATGATCACGATGAAGCTAGAAGTACTGCTGTTACTGGTGATGCTCGTGGTAGTTTCAAAGATGATGTTATAATCGGTGTTCCTAAAACTGCTGTTATTGGAGATGCTCATACTGTTGTGGGAGGTGCTGCTATTAGAGATGGTTTTCACGTTGATGGTTCTGGGTCTAGTCGAGAGGATGTAAGTCGAGAGGAGGTTGCTGCTTCTGTTTTGGTGACTGAGGCGAGTGCACCTGCCCCTACTGCTGCAAACAAACTCATGAGTAAAGGGCTATTGCCTCTGTTGAATTTGATCGAGCAAAGAAAGATGCCCGTGAAGGTAGTTTGGCGGTTGGTGAGTCCTCAAGGTTGGCCACTGCTAAAACTAGTTTAGCGGAGGCCGCCTTTCAACTCTAAATTAACATCTAATTCTGTAATAGGATCTAAATAAAGATATACAAGTAATTATTTTCACGTTAGGGCAGTTTTCCAAAGCATTGGGTTGGACACTCTCTGGTTGTTATAACGGCTCCCAGAAAGTC